CTCCCCTCCTCTCTCTCTACCCCCTCCACTGTATAACCCTGAGGGACTCCTTCCATTACCATGCAATTTCCCTTCTCTCTCCCTTTCCCTCCCACCTCTCATCCCTGTTAAATGTTAATCTTCTTCTCCTGCTCTTCGTCCCTACTCTGATCTTAGTTACTCTCCTTATATCAAAGAAGACATTTGGCATTTGTTTTTTAGGGACTGGCTAGCTTCACTTAGCATAATCTGCTCTAATGCCATCCATTTCCCTGTAAATTCTATGATTTTGTCATTTTTTAATGCAGAGTAATACTCCATTGTGTATAAATGCCACATTTTTTTTATCCATTCGTCTATTGAAGGGCATCTAGGTTGGTTCCACAGTCTTGCTATTGTGAACTGTGCTGCTATGAACATCGATGTAGCAGTGTCCCTGTAGCATGCTCTTTTTAGGTCTTTAGGGAATAGACCAAGAAGGGCCTGTAGGGGAAATCCAAATCTTTCAACAGTCTTTCCTTTTTTTTTTTTTAAGAAAAATAAAAAGATCTTTCTTAGACCCAGATTCGATTTCCCCACTGAATCCCCAAATGAACCTAATTCTGCTTACTGCAAGTGCAAAAAATAATTTTACATTTTCTTTCACATTAGTCTAGCATCTGAGGATTGCTTTCATTTCTTCAACTATACTCTCGCTCCTCAGATCATCTGGCTTTGTACTGAATCCATAATAGTTTTATTATATAAATGTATACTCTGACTGCTAGCACTGCCTGGAACTGCTGGGAATCATTTACTCAACAGGGAAAGGAAATAAAACTGTAAGATGTTGGATGTTTTAGGTCTCAGAGCTAAAAATAAAATTAATTAAAAATCAAAGTATGAAATAATTTAAAAATCCAAGAGCATGACTGAGGGAAATTGAAGGAAAAAACAACACAAAAGAAAGGTTGGTGCTACCATAGACAGGCGAAGGGAACTGTTGGAGGAAAAAACAAAAAGTAAGAAAAGAAGAATGCAGATGAAGAAGTTATTTGAGAGGACTAATAAAAGTTTTAAAATAAGCTTTTGAGAAGTTAAATGAGGTTATCAATTCAGGAAAAGTAATGTCCTCTGAGCATTAGCCCCTGAAAAGAAAAACTAACCAAGGTACTGGGGAGCTAACTAGTGCCCTAAGTGTTATGCCTAGAAAACTAATTAAAACCTTTTCTCCCAAGAACTGAGAACAATGAGAATAAGAACTCAGCTGGTAAATGAATAAAACCAGACAGAAATTAAGAAAATAAGATTTCTTATACAGGGTGAAGGCTGACTGACTCTACAACTACAATGTGCACATGTGACATTCCTGCCACTGAACTCTGCACAAAACTGAAGTTTCCTGTTGTCCACATAGCTGTCTAAATATGAATATCATGAAGGAAAAATATTAAGTACTGGAACAGTAATACTCTATTCCTCAAAAGGGAAACTTCCTTAGGTCCTCTCTGTATCCTCAACCGTAAACTATTTTATTGGTGGCAGCCATAATCATAGAGAGCTTCCTTTACAGGGAGTCCAAGGTAATCTGGCTGATTCAGCCCCCAAATCTGTAAAACACTAATCCATCACTCTGTGGCCATATGAGGACATAGAATTTTTCTTTATAAAGTCTCTGAATAAAGGATTTCAGCGTGCAAAAAAATAACCATTAGAGTTAATGTTCTAACTCCTCCAAGTTGAACCTACTCCAAAAAGTACTAACTCCTCTCTAAATGTCTCACTTTAATTGTTATCTCTTCCTATTAGCCTTTTTAATTCTCTGAAAGTCTAAGCCACAACTGACATTTCATGTCCATGTTTTCTGTAGGCCTTTCATTCTCCATGTGTGAGCTATAGATAGTCCAATCAAATTATGTCTTGTCCCTAAAGAAAGGACAGTATTTAATGCTTTTTATTTTACGATTACAAATATTTGTGGTTAGTGAAGATTTTCCATACTGAGAAGCTTTCTAGACTCAGAAAAGACATCTAATACCCAGTACCCATACCTTGGAGAATGACTCTTTTGACTGAGATTCTGGAGGCTGAACAGTTCCTCCTTGTGCCTTCATTTCTTCTATGTGTTTATTCAAAGCAGTTAATTTTGCTTTTGCATGAAATTTGATTTTTTTAATTTTGTCATCAGAAGTTTTTCTTTCCTCCTGCCAAAAAACAATAATGATAAATGCATGTTTATTCTCCATAAATATTTATCTAGCACATAACAAAAGTTATTTTACTAGACATCACATTACAGTATTAATAAGAAACAAATTCTCTAGATTATTAAGTGAATAGCATATCTGTCCTTTGGCAAATACTCTATAAGAAAAAACAAATGCAGTAGTACCTGTAGAGCTTCATCCTTCTGCTGCAGTTGAATATCCTTCTGTCTAATACTTTCTTTTAGCTCCACCACCAACTGTTCTGCATAAGCCAGTCGCTCCAAAACATCCTCTTCTGTTCTACTATTAAGTTCCATGTCCAATTCCTGAGGTACTTCCTGATGTTTAGGAAAAAGTTGCCATTACATCAGGGAAAAGGTATTAACTTCCAAACAGGAATTCCTTCATTCCAGGAATTTCATCTTATCCTTTGCCCAACTCATATCCTTTGAAATTAAAGACTCTTTATAACTGAGCCAACAGAACTTACAGCCATTACAATATATTGAGTATTTTATTGACGTAGTATTAATCTAATATTACTGCTATGGTTTGGATATTCATATCCCCCCCTCCAGCTCCTGTGTTAATGCAGAATGTTTGGGGACAAAGATTGGATTGTGAGAGCTATAACCTAATCTGTTCAGCCTAGTTTGAATGGACTAACTGTATGGTAACTTGAGGCAGGTGGGGCAGGGCTGGAGGAGGGGATTCACTAGGGGCATGCCCTGCAAGGATTTATGTACCCTGCAGCCACTTCCCTTTTATCTTTTTCTGCTTCCTGGATGCCATGAATTGAACACAGCCCCTCTACCATCCCTTCTGCCTCACCTTTGTCCAAGAGCAATGGATTTGGCTCACCATGGCCTAAACCTCTGAAATCATGAGCCAAAATAAACTTTCCCCTCTCTACACTGTTCTTTAAAATAAATAAATAAATAAATAAATATATATATATATATATATTTATTTATTTATTTATAACTAAATATATTATAATTAAATATATATTAAATAAATTAAATATATTATATAAATATATTATATAATATATTAAATATATTATAATTAAATATAAATATTTATAATATAAAAAATTTATATATATATAAATTATATATATATATATTAGTTATAGTTGGATGCCATACTGCCGCAGTCTGGCTGGGCACAATCAGGAGCCACTTGTCAAAAGAAACTAACTTTATTTTTAGAACCACACAGGCCAAACAAAACAGCCTCGCAGGAAAAACCCTCAGAGCCTCAATTGCCACCACCGGCTTTCCACAAGCCTCTCTCTCCCCCACAAGCTTCTCTCCACCTCCCACAATCCTCCTGCTCTTGAGGCCGATTGGCTGGGTCACGTGGGCGGAGCCAAAAAAGTCCCCCAATGAGCAGCTCCGTGGTCTGAAAGGGAAGGGAAACAGCCCAATGAGCATCACCATAGAGGAGCCAATCAGCTAGATGTTGCTGGGGCCACTGTGAGCCAATCATCAGCCGGCAGCTGGAAGTTTGCTGGCAGCTGGAAGTTTGCTGGGGCCCCTTCGGCTGTGGCTCTCAACATCTCCCCCTCTCTGTTTAAACAACAAGCATGTGGCTTAGGGACCGTGCCTGCTTTAGGTTGTCCAATAGTACATATGGTCCTTAGGTTGGTACCATTGCAATTGGATCTTACCCGTCACTGACTACCAGTCCAGTATACAGCCACACCTGTGGAGAGGTCTTTGTACCAGCGGGGGGGTGAGGTTCTTTGCCTCACCTCTGTTGGCCCCCAAATTTTAGCTGGACGATCATGACAAGCAAAAGGGAGGAAGATACACCAAGCCAATTGACGGCTCCTTTTGGAAAAATTGTACCACCAATGACATCATCAGCAAAAATACCCCAACACTACCACAAGTCGCTGCACCAACAGATAGTTCACAATGCATACAGGTGAGCTCACAATGTGTCCAGGCAAGTTCTGCAAGCAGTTCAGTGATGGCTATTGTAGAAGCTGTAGATTGGTTTTATCTTTGCCTTCACCTGCACTGGGATGAAGATAGGAATTCTGGCAATAATGGCTAAAGAAAAA